TCGGCCAGCCTGCTGGCCACTCGCCTTCCGAGCTCTTGATTTCCGTTTCCCGACTCCCGCCTCACTCTTTCTTCCGGAGCCACCAGATGGTCAGATTCAATAAATGCTCGAATCTGCCTCTTGACTACTGTGGTTAGTGAGTGAGACGAACCGCTGCTCTCCGGCTGCCGCAGCGCGATCCACCCAAATGACAGCAATCTACCCCATGCTAATGGAGTACTGTCTTCACTTAACGCCGCCTCCAGCAGTTTCTGCAGAGCATCCGCTGCGCAGACCACAGCTCCCCGGGGCACCCTCTTCAGTGCTCTACCATTGGCACAACACCGAGAAACATACCCCAAGAAGTCGAAATCTGCGGGTCTTTTCTTGAGAACTCATTGATTGACCTCATGAATCTCAATAAAATTTTTGTTTAAAACAGGGCAAATTTGTATTCACTGATATATAATTTAGTAAATTTGTAACGTAGCTGGACGAAAGCAAATTACGAGCATTAGATTCCGTTTTATTCTATCGGCATTTTAAATTGGTTCAGGGAAAAATGCTAATCAAACCTGCTAATCTAACGCTCTAACATAAGTAAAAAGGTCTCACATTTTGTTTAAAATAGCTAGGTATTTGTGGCCTATGACCAAATTTCGAATCAGGTATACTTCACGTGGATACCATTGCTAAATATTTCAGCGTCTCAATGAGCATCCTGCCATTGTCGGGCTTTCAGCATTGTTTCTGTTGCGTTCCACTTGAAAAGTGTTAAAGGAAACTCATTTCGAATTCTGATATATAATTGAAATCATCGCGAAACAATAATGAAACAGTTGACAGAAAATTTGTGTAGCAGTATGTGGTTACACGAAGATTACTTAGTACTAGAAGATACGAATGAAAAATTAGAAGACAGTGATGCTTAGAAGTTGGATGTTCAAAATTTACTGAGAACAAATGAACTCCATTTGTTCGTTAGTTGTAATTTTCACACTAGATAACTTTTTAAACAATTTCAAGTGGAAAATTTTATCTAGCCTGGCCAATTAAGGGTTTTTACCAAATGGCATGCGGGTTTACATTTGTCAAGCGATCAAATTCACAGGTACTTCCGTATGAAAATGCGGTTTGAAAGAAAAATCGTCGGTTGTTTGTACCTTTTTTCGCGTCTTCAATGTCGACGCAATCGGTGCGAAATCTTTAGTTTGAAGATACGTCAGTAATAAATGTGTACATTATTTTTGGCGTAAATTCGTTGAATTTGAGTTTGTTGAACGAATTTTTACTTGAATTCGTTGCCTTTTTTCGATCAATGAAATCAGCACCTATGAAAACATTTAAAGAACATCAACATTTCACTATGCGTGGGCATCGTAGCGTAATTATCTGCCCTGAAATCAAGTGATAAACTTTCACAATGATGCTTTGAAATAGACGAATTAAAAATATCAGAGACACTCAAGGCCAATAAGAGCCTCGTCTCAAGCTCTGAAGCGAGTATTTGTTAGCAGTTCACGGCGAGCAACTTTTACATTGATAGGTAAATTCCGCGTTGAAAAAATAATTACAAGATATCGCAAGAAAACGATGCAAACCAGTACGATAATTACGCTCATTAAAATACAAAGAAACTACGTCAAGTTAGAAGCTAGACACATAAAGCTCAGGACTATACAAATATATACATGAACATGATGTTAACTATACATTTACAAGCCGTCATTAAATCTAGCGTAAAGCTGTCCTACCATCTAAAATTGTGGAGTTTTGTTCACAGTTTCTCATGATAATGGTCCTTTAAAGGAAAGTGCAATCGGAAAAAACTGTAATGCTTGCATGCATTTCATCTGTCAAATTACACACTCATATAAGAGATAACAATCTTTATCCTACGAAATAGGACCTAGAAACGACCTAGAACCCTACTAAGTAGGATATAGAATAACCCTAGAACCCTACGAAGTAGGACCTAAAATAACCCTAGAACCCTACGAAGTAGGACCTAGAATAACCCTAGAACCCTACGAAGTAGGACCTAGAATAACCCTAGAACCCTACTAAGTAGGACCTAGAATAACCCTAGAACCCTACTAAGTAGAACCTAGAATAACCCTAGAACCATACGAAGAAGGACCTAGAATAACCCTAGAATCTTTCGAAATAGGACATAGAATAACCCTAAAACCCTACTAAGTAGGACCAGTGCACAGAATATCGAAAATTTCAGTCAAAGCATATAATTTTGCGACATTAAACAGTGAAAACCCCCAAATTATTGACATGTGACCATTTAAATGCGCCGCCTATCTTTGGAAGAAATAAATAGCTCTTCTCGTAGAATATCAATTACTTCTTTAAGAAAATTTCTATTTAAAATAATTACGGAATTTCCTTGTCTATAGTTAAGATATGGACATTTAAGCAAGAAGTTAAAATAGGAGTTTATACGCGGAACTACTTGACGATCGTTTAAAAACGGGCAATAGAAATTAAGGCGCGGGATATAATAATTAAATTTACTAATTTTGAGTATCATGAAATTATTTGCTTTTAATTAAACGTAGCTGAAGTTGAGAGTACGATAAATTGTAAAATTGCTTTCATTTACAAATTATAAGAAGATGCACCGAGTCATGGCGATATCAGACATGGTGTGGGTCAACAGAGTGCGCTATTTACAAAACATAACCTACCATACATACATCGACTTATAACACCGGTCTCTCTATAAGAACCATTAAAATTACTTAGAATAACTGGACATTTTCTTAGAGTATATCGAGTCAATCATTCATGAATATTGCCTTGCCTATCATAATAATTACCTATTAATTAGAAGTTCAGATCGAAGTACTGATCATGAAATTTATGCTATTTGTTAATATCAAACCCGAAAATAAACTATCTGCAGATCTAAGTCAATTTATATACACGAGATGCTGACTGTAGGTAAGCCAACTTTTGCAATACTTAAAGGAATTACGTAAAGATTACGATTCACGAACAATATGAAGTGCGTGAAAACTCGACGTAAAAAGTGGTAGATGTAAATAAAATCCACGGCCCACTGTCATAGCCCGAAAATTAAAATGGTCGCTATGGCTGCAACGGTAACATTGAGCGTCATTCATGAATCATCAAAGACAGGCTATCGGCTCAAACTATGCAGTTTTATGACAAGAACACTAAACGATAGCATGAGAGGTAATTCATTTAAAACACAATATCTTCAAGTATTGCAATGGTAACATTACGAAGGTACTTTTTGATTAAAAAGGCTGAAATGCATTGATAAACAATAAAATGATTGTCCTCGGAAATAGTAATTAAAGAGATATATGTAAAAAATACGAGTTAGTTAGTTGTTAAAACATTTAAGTTCAATTGACAATTATCGTTACTTCGCAGCATTCTTTCAATAACTGTAGACTTGGATCTTGAACAAGAAAAAATATTCAGATCGACAATTTAAAGTGAAGCCCGTGAATGCCCTGAATGCCGTGCAAGCACCGCGCTGCCATTCCACATACAAGCGACAAACCAATTGTAAAAATTTAACAGAAAAGCGACAAGCAGAGATACATACATTTCAGACTAAATACAGATCATTTTGCTACTCGTGAAATTAATAAAAGTAGTTAACAACCTTCAAACAAACGAGAATTTTACGACACATACAACACGGCCTCGAGGACAGGCGCACCTTCACGATACACTTTTAACACATGGAGTTAATCTATTTCGTATATAGACTAAAATTTAGGCTAAGTTTAAAATAACGTTGTTGGCAGAGGGAATATTCTGCGCACGTGGTAATCAATGATGTTCATGTCAATGCCGGTACCTATGAAAGTTATAAGAAAACGGAGGGATGGAAATTCAGCAAGAGGGATAGAAATTCGTTAGGATTTCTTCACTTGCAGGTGTGGACATCGACTTTTGTCACACAGTTCTTGCACTCAACGCGACAGCACCACACGAACTTGCAGTGACAGCGCTCGATGTATTTCACGGCCTGGAAATGCAATAAGTTCGAAACTCTAAGTGAAATTATATTTTATAATAGATTATATAATATTTTATAATAGATTATATGAGATTGAAACAGTCGGGAGCAAATAAATAAACCACTTATAATCACGAAAATAATGTAGGTAATTACAAACAATTGAAAAATAAGAAGTTCAAGGGGGAATAAGGAGAGCAAAGTGTGTGGCTAATGCAGTTACATTAGAAAAATAATTTTGAGTTATGGTTACAAGTAGCGTCTGCAATATCTATCATAAATGCAACCTCAAATTCAGCCCAATTTTACAAAAACAACAAACACCATATGTTCAATATTGAGGTCATGACATTAGATTTAATCATCATTTGTGTCAACATTTTTATTATTATTACCCCTGTTATAGCTATAAATCTTCTAATGGCGGTATTAATACATTTTAATGAAGATAAAGAACGAAACTTCAAGTCGTACCTTGGTATTGTATCCGCGTCCGCAGCAGAGGAAGCTGCAAGAGTCTGGTCCCGACGAGGTTTTGTTGCACTGTCGCCCTGAGGTGCCCAGGATGCCCTTCTTCGGCTTGCTCTTGCAGTAGTTCGGCGAGCTGTGGATGTGCACCAGCTCCGACTTTCCTGCAAGTTATTAACATTTTAATTAATAAATCTTTCATTGGGAGAAGTTTAGTGAGCTGTGGATGTGCACCTGTACCAGCTCCGACTTCCCTGCAAGTTATCAACATGTAAACTAAAAAATCTTTCATCATGAGAAGTTAAGAGAGCTGTGGATGTGCACCAGAGCTCCGACTTTCCTGCAAGTTATCAACATGCAAACCAATAAATTTATTATTGGAAAATTTGTTCACTAGTCCACCACCTGGTATGCCTTACATGACATAGCGATAGCAAATATGTAACCTATGCACTAAACTTTTAGGCAGTGCTATGAAACTGAAACATTTTCAGTTTCGGCGCAAGTTAAAGCGATCTAAGATATTAATAAATACATCGATTTGTGCCTCAGTTGGTCATGGCTAGATATGTAGATTTAACAAGCGATTCTCCCCTGCCTGAAATCCTCACTTAACCCATAAATTTTTCAATAAAATGAATAATTTAATCAAGAACCCCTATTTCGGCGCGACACTACGGAACCCAAGATTCGCGGTCGCGCTCTGACAGAACTTGCATCGAGTCTGTGCTACAATAAAAAAAAAGTAATTATCTTCAGGATAGTTCTAAGAACAATCACACGTAATTATTTTCAGGATATTTCTAGGAACAATCACAAGTAATTATCTTCAGGATGGTTCTAAGAACAATCACAAGTAATTATCTTGAGGATAGTTCTAATAACAATCACAAGTAATTATCTTCAGGATAGTTCTAATAACAATCACAAGTAATTATCTTCAGGATAGTTCTAATAACAATCACAAGTAATTATCTTCAGGATGGTTCTAATAACAATCACAAGTAATTATCTTCAGGATGGTTCTAATAACAATCACAAGTAATTATCTTCAGGATGGTTCTAATAACAATCACAAGTAATTATCTTCAGGATGGTTCTAATAACAATCACAAGTAATTATCTTCAGGATGGTTCTAATAACAATCACAAGTAATTATCTTCAGGATGGTTCTAATANTCACTCTACCCACTACCCTCACTCTACTCACTACCCTCACTCTACCCACTACCCTCACTCTACTCACTACCCTCACTCTACCCTCACCTGGCGCCCAGCTTCGTTGTTGTGTAGGTTCATGAGGTTGCGGAATTTCTTCTCTTTCTTGTGCCATTCCTTCTCAGGCGCGTCCACGAACTGGCGAGCGAACTGGTTACCGAAGTTCAGGTTGTCGCTTCAAACCAAAATAATTAATTAGTAAGTATAGAATATATTATAATATCTATGAAAACGAAAATAATTAGTTAGTATAGAATGTAATATAATATCTATGATATTGCAACGCATTCAGTTAGATGAATGGGTTCAATATGCAGTTACGGGTAAATTTAAGAATAATTTGATACTGAAATAAATGAGGGAATGTAAAATGCACTGATCTAATTGGGTTATTATCTTTCTGTGATTTGAATTTATTTTTAAATATATACGATTCATGTATAACTAATTGTATAAAGTTCGCAAAAGTTTGGTTCTGAAATTTATTGTTTTGCCTGATGCCGCTAATACCGGGTGTCCCAGAAAAAAACGATATTCAACTTTTAATGGCTGTAACTCAAAAAGTAATAGAGTTAAAAAATTTTGAAAGGTCAGGATTTGTTCCCTATGTTTTTCTCCATCTCTCCACCAAAAATCAGACAGATCGATGTAGCCATAAGCGTCTGATAGAAGTTTCAGTGACATGTGCTAAAATCGTGCTCGCACAAAATTTTGGTAAGATCATTTTGCATAATCATTACGTTGTCTTGACACGTTTTCTTTTCGATGTTTTATTTTTTGTATCTTTGGTGAGACAAAAACATGGCAATCTGTGGTGAGAGGCAATCATGACAATCTTTGGTGAGACAAAAAAATGGCAATCTTTGGTGAGAGGAAATCATGGCAATCTTTGGTGAGAGGCAATCATGGCAATCTTTGGTGAGACAAAAACATTGCGATCTTTGGTGAGAGACAATCTTTGGTTTTGAAATTCTCTCTCACCAAAAATTGTCATGATTGCCTCTCACCAAAGATTGCCATGATTGCCTCTCACCAAAGATTGCCATGATTTCCTCTCACCAAAGATTGCCATTTTTTTGTCTCACCAAAGATTGTCATGATTGTCTCTCACCAAAGATTGCCATGATTGTGTCTCACCAAAGATTGCCATGATAGTGTCTCACCAAAGATTGTCATGATTGTCTCTCACCAAAGATTGCCATGATTGTGTCTCACCAAAGATTGCCATGATGGCCTCTCACCACAGATTGCCATGTTTTTGTCTCACCAAAGATACAAAAAATAAAACAGCGAAAAGAAAACATGTCAAGACAACGTAATGATTATGCAAAATGCAAAATGATTATGCACGATTTTAGCACACGTCACTGAAAGTTCTATCAAACGCTTATGGCTACATCGATCTGTCTGATTTTTGGTGGAGAGATGGAGAAAAACATAGGGAACAAATCCTTACCTTCCAAATTTTTTTAACTCTATTACTTTTTGAGTTACAGCCATTCAAAGTTGAATATAGTTTCTTTTTGACACCCGGTATACGGAAGCGGTTCTGGCATGTATGCACGACGCTTATCGTTTCGGGATATTATTTGGACCTGAAAATCCATTCTTACTGGTAGAATATATAGACATAGCAAAACGGAGGAGAAAGGATCGGCGAATTACATTTTTTAATATATTTTCATAATGGTACAAATAATTCAAATATTTACTTACTTTCTAACGCTATTATTCGATATTATCATCAATCCCGTGCAACTTTAGTCTAAGCAATCATAAATTTGAACGAAAAAGCACATTACCGTTACTTACAAATGACAAGATGGCACCCCCCATTACCCTATACAAGATTGGGGAAGTTTCCTAACCTGCATCCGCCCCACTTCCAGCCCTCGGGGGTGGACAGGCCTTGCTTGCTCATGTCGCAGTAGCAGTCCGTGAGATTACCGGACGAGCAAGCCTGCGTCACTGCGTGCACCACTCCGGCCGAGGTGATGGCGTAGATGAACGCTGTCTCTTTGCTGCCTGTACAACAATACAAGATTAAATACAAATATACGTTTGAATTAAAATACAAGCTTGTGTAAGATATATGCAATAACATAAATATAAGTCTGAGTATAAATACAAGTTAAAATGAAAATACAAGATTAATTTCAAATGGGTAGAATTTCTGCCAGAATGTCGGCCTCGTACAACAAAATATTTAATGTACATGCATAATGAGAGTTAAGTCATAGATTTGTTGTTTGGGAGTTTAGGTAAAAATAATTTGATTCATGCTGATGTCCAACATCAGTGACAGATTACACCAAATAATTTTAATGGAGAACATCCAAGGCATATCAGTAGAAAATTAATATATTCGTCCCGACAGAGGAAAATACATTTTTAGCTCTTGATCAAGCTGTTTAATTACAAACTGCGGGTAACCGCATAGTAAATTAAAGCGATAATGACTACAATATCTGTCAAGGAGATTTTCATGGGAAACAGGTTATCAAATAATATTTGATGGTGGATTTTTAAGCTCGGGAACGCATTTGAAAAGTTTGCTCTAAGTGGATATCGGACCATAATTTGCCTACCAAAATGCTTAAGTTATCCATCTTGTTGCAAAGTATCGTGCAGGCAAACCAGTATTAATTAAATGCCAATAATAATTAAAACCAGTATTAATTGAAAATAAAACGCAAAATTTACATTGAATATAAATAATCGCAAACAATGCATTGCTATTTATTATTCAACTAAATTTTTCCCACACTTATCGACTTTCATATGTTTGTTTAATCAGCGTTGTCTATATTTTTTTCGATCTCACAAATTAATAATTGAAGGATAACAAAGATTTCTCAAACCACAACCGGAGCTTAATTCATGAGAACAAGGTAAAAAATGTAATCAAATTATTTTCCTTTTCGCTTCGTGTGTTTCTGATTCACATCATTAGGAAAAACCTCCTGGTGTAATATAATAAGAAATACTTTTCAGCAACAAAGCCAGCATTTTCGATGTGCATCGCACCATTCGAGAGTTTCCGCTCGGGCGTCCAGAGGACATCACGCGATCGACCGTCGGCAGCGCGACGTGTCAGCTGTGAGTGACTCGACGTTCGTTACGGTTCCGGCCGTACAAAGGTTCCCATCTATACGGAAACTACCAGAAAATGAAAAGAAGTAGTAATAACAAAGTTCTGTACACGTAGAGAATTTCATAGGAAAATATATTGGGTAGTGAGGCTGGGAAAACGTTTTATTTCTAAATGTCACTGAATTGCGACAAATGGCGTACTTGCAACTAAAGGGCAGAACACTGACTAAACGTACCGTGGAAAAATAATAAATCAAAGCAAGAGAATTGATGTTAATTAATTTAATTCTCATCAAGACATGAAGAAGTCTATGGGTGTGGAGAACCGTTTGTTGAATACGCGAGATAAGCAAGGTTGCCAAGCGTGGCCCGCAGTCACATCTCAATCGCCTCCAGAGATGCGCTATCTGCAGCAGGAATCATTACAGCGATAGCGGTATGCAAACCTGTTATGTTTCTCGGGGGGAGTTCAGTTCCTTGAGAAAGTTACGGGACGTCTTTGTGTCATGCAAGGCGACCAAGTCACTCTGTGCATGCCTTCCAATTTTTTAAAATATTAGGCGACAGATAGGCGGCCCGTGCATTGACGATCTCCGACAAATATGGCGATCCGCATAAGACAATACAATAAATTAAGGTCAGCAGCAGGATGGAAACAAAGCGGTTTGCTGCAGTTTCGCTTGTAAATTTTATATATCCTGTAAACAAGTCAAGAAATGTACAAGAATCGGTAATAGGCCATGGGCTATTTCAGTGGTTCCCAAAGTGGGCGATATCGCCCCCCTAGGGGCGATGGAAAGATTTTGGGGGGCGGTAAAGAAGAAGAGGGTGGTAGGGGGGCGATAGGGGGGCGGCAGTCCGAAGTCGAAGTCAGAAGTTCGAACGTGTGTTTGACGATTTTTACACAATACCGTACGTGCATCACAGACTCCCAGCGATGTTTTTTTTCTCCCAGATATGTTTTTTTTAACTTTTCCTGGGTTTACATCTCGAACAAATTAACGGCCGGACTGTAAACCACGGCCAATTTCCAAATTCAATGATCAAGGAATATATCTAAAACTAATGAACTTAACTCGATGAAATTTAGTAAACAAATTCATTAGGACCTAACGATGATGTTTAGCTCGTGAAAATTGTTTTAATCTTGCCATCGTTTTTTTTTTATATTGCCATGGTTATATGGCAATACGGGCCGAAGTTTACAGTGATCAAGGAATTTCTTCCAAACTACTGAACAGATTCGAACGAAAATTTGAATTTGTAGTCCTAACTACCAAACGGTAATGTTTAGCTCGTGAAAATTATTTCGATTGTGCCTTCGTTCGCGAGTTTTTTTTTTCATTTCACCTTCATTCGTGATTTCGACAGCAATACGTGTTTAAATTCGCAGTAATCAAGAATTCTTTTCCAAACTGCTGAACAGATTTGAACGAAACTTAGTATTTAAATACCTAACCTCAGCAACGGTGATCTTTAGCTCCTTACAATTTTTTCATTTTGCCTTCGTTTGCGAGTTGTACGGCTATACGCAAAAGGCTCTTGATTAAACCGGCCGGTAGAAAAGCCGATCGTTCCTCCTATATCTGTATAACTCGCGAACGAAAGCAAAATAGAAAAATTGTCACGAGCTAAACATCACCGTTGGGAGGTTAGGTATTTATATACAAAGTTTCCTTGAAATCTGTTCTGTAGTTTAGAAGAAATTACTCGATCCCCGCGAATTTAAGTGACAAATTACCCGGCGATACGAGCCGAATATAAGGAAGTGTGAAATCAAGAATGACGGTGAAATGAAAAAAAAACTCGCAAACGAAGGTAAAATAAAAAAATTTTATAAAGTAAAAAATCACCGTTTGGTAGTTAGGACTGTATATTCAAAATTCCGTTTAAATCTGTTCAATAGTTTGGAAGAAATTTTTTGATCACTGCGAATTTCGGCCTGTTTCGTCGCAGTATACGCGTAGCTCGCGAATGAAGGTGAAATTAAAAAAAATTAAGAGCTAAACATCTGATGAATACATGTTCCAAGTTTCATAGAGCTGCGTCCATTAGTTTGGGAGATATTACTTGATAATTGAATTTGGAGATTGGTCGTGCGACTGGCCACGAGTCCGGCCGTAAATTCGCCTGCGACATCCTAGGTTTCTAGTGCTGAAACAGTTAAAACAGCTTAAAAACATATTGGTTCACTAAATGGGGTTCTATTTGTGAAATACACATTTGTGTTTAACCTTTCTCTTTTAAAATTGAAGCGTACTAGATTTCAAGAAAAAAGCGTTTGTCTGTGGGGGGCGCTAGAAATTCACTAGGGAGCCAAAGGGGGCGCCAGCCGGAAAAAGTTTGGGAACCACTGGGCTATTTCTTCGGCGCCGACACTACAACTTGTGAAATTTGTATTATATTAATATCTGAATTTCAAGAAATTCAAATTAATGTTTGGAGGTATTTATTTTATTCCTCAATATTAATTAAATATTACTAATTAATATTAATTAAAAAGAGATACTACCATCTGGAAACTTTATTCATTATTAAATTTCTTTGCTTCTGTGTGGATTTGCTAGAGCAAAAGTATAACGAAAACATGTAGCTGCAATATTTTAGAGTCCCGTCATAGGACGAGCTAATGCATGGGCAGTCCTGGCACTTCGTTTATGAGAAAAGCCGCACGACTTCTGGCAAATTCACTTCATAAAATCATGATACATTTCACTCAATAAAATAACCGCGAGAATCCCTAACCGGACCCGAGGAAGCAAACAAGAAGTCAGTACACAAACGAGAATAAAAAAATGGCAACACGCCGGAGAAATTGATTGATCGGTGACCTCATGAAGGCTTGAATAAATTATTTGTTATTAATTAGACGAAACATTTTCTTGCGCAGTAGCTAAGCGAGCCAGGAACGCCAGCTCACTACCTATACCCTTAATATAGCATTGATAGCAGTTGAGGTTTGTAGGCGTCATTTCAACAAGCATGCAGTTGAGTTTTGTAGGCGTCATTTCAACAAGCAGTTGAGTTTTGTAGGCATCATTTCAACAAGCAGTTGAGTTTTGTAGGCATCATTTCAACAAGCAGTTGAGTTTTGTAGGTATCATTTCAACAAACAGTTGAGTTTTGTACACATCATTTCAGCAAGCAGTTGAGTTTTGTAGGCATCATTTCAACAAGCAGTTGAGTTTTGTAGGCATCATTTCAACAAGCAGTTGAGTTTTGTTTGCATCGTTTCAACAAGCAGTTGAATTTTGTTTACATTATTTCAACAAGCAGTTGAGTTTTGTAGCCATCATTTCAACAAGCAGTTGAATATTGTAGGCATCATTTCAATAACCAATTGAGTTTTTTGGGTATCATTTCAACAAGCAGTTGAGTTTTGTAAGCATAACTTTTGTTGAGAAAATACATGCTGTGAACTCTGCACTAACACCATAATTTCACAATTCTCAACAACACCCATAATATCATGGTGTTGTGGGACTAGATTGTGCCGCGGAGACGCTGCCTTGTGAAGAGATCATCAACCCTGGAACATTCATAGAACACAAGCCAGCAGCAGCAGCGTCAGCCTTCAAGGGGCGCTCGCCCGCGCTCCTATACCCAGTGAAAATTTACAGACGCGGCAGCTTCTGATTTAGGATACCAGAAGCTGGGGCGACTCTAAATTTTGATAGGGTAATGACCGCACCTTAGAAGGCATCCCAATGAAGATCACATGCATCACATGCGCACATTTGATGAGACTTTTATTGTGCAGCTTTTATAAGAAATAACGAGGGATTTACGTTCCAAGTTCAGTTCGAAACATTTATTTTTGCAGTTTGGTTCATAATTAATAAATGTCTGATTAACACTAATTAGTTACTTGCATGTGACAGCATAAATAATTGCTGGGCTGATAGTTTATTCGCAGAAAATGTTTAATGTAC